CAGATATACCGACAACACAAGAGATCAGCACACGGTAAGGTTAATGATATGCATGGGCTATTTTTAGATTACCTCACCATGTCAGTAGATCTAAATATAACTTGATCATGCACTAATAATCTGCGTGATTCGGTCACGATCTTTTGGTAAGCAGGACCGCCCTTTGGATACGGAATGCTACTACAGTAATCATTCTCCATTGTATAAAACTAATAAAGACAAAAACCAATTATAAAAGAAATTAACTTTTGCGTCTAAAAAAAAAAGAATTGAAACGGAATCAAGTAAAAATAGAAATCCTATTTATATATTAAACAAACTGGGATTACCGAAGTAACTAAAATAGCTTAGATTTCCGCATATTACTTCGTCTGATTCCGCAGTTTGACGGAATCGCCCGAATTGTCACGATTGCAATCGGAACTACCTCGGCTATTATCATTAATCCGAAGAGTGACGGAAAGGGCCGAAAAGTTGCGATTGGCACGATTGCAGCTGGTTTCCCGTTCATTCATGCACTAACAAATGTAAGCAGGAAACGACCTAACCGGAACAACTTATCCAAAACAAATGGCTAAAAACGGACCTTACCCTAAGATGCCTCTTTTATGCATGTTATGACGACTTACAAACTATGTATATCTATTTGGAATATTGTCATATTGTTTTAGAGATCGGAAACCTAAATGCACGACATTGATCGTTTATATATATACATATGGATGAAGATTATTCCGTATAATATTGTTTTATCTCGACTAAAATTTGGTTTAAACATATTTTTTAAGCTCAATTGCGAAACAAGTTGTGGCAATTTATATTAATCACTTTCGAGCCTGCTTCCTGGAACCAACCAGTACTGGTGTCATATGAAGAAACATGGTCGTGACCCGAGTAGGGCTCGATCCCATGATATCTGGGTTGAGAGACAGACACATTAACCACTAGACCACCGCTCCCCTCGACTAAAGTTTCAAAAACGGTATCAACATTCCTTAAACTCTAGTTTAAAAAATCACTGAATATTTTTGTATTATAAACTTATATTGCTTCGTTATTTTATTGAGAAATGACTTTTGAAAACAATAAATTAAGGAATAAAAGACCTAATGCAGAACATCCTTTCTGAAGAGTATTCATTTCAATGGAGATACTTGATATTAAATTGTGATTTACATTTTCTATTTTATTGAAAACAGCTTGAATAAAAAATAATTGCAAATTCATTTGTACTTTTTACTGTAAAAAGAGTTGAACAGGGATAGTTTTACCACTTAAAATATTTATATTTCAAAATCGACACGGTTGTCATCCTTCTGTTTTTGCACAAATGTTTAGAATTGTATCTAGATACTTATTATGTTATGATAGAACGATGTCACATTAAAAGGTGAAAATATTATAAAAGAAAAAAACAGACCCCGATAGTTAAAACAAAAAGTTGACTCTTAGACTAATACTTTGCAAAGGCATTCACCCGCGTGTTTATTGATATTATTGTGTTTTGTGATTACAAGCCTTGGGGCTTTTATTGTTTAAGCGTTCCCCTGTCGATTATTCACTGGTCCAGGAGTAACCCTATATTCACAGTTTACTTATCAGATGAACAGTTATATTTTTTCTAGTGAGTTTGTTTGTAATTGACTATAATTTGAGTCTTCACTATCTTTAAACATCTCTCGGTTAGAAGCATCAACTTTTTTACCTGTATATGCTGTGTGATGTTGTTACGTGGATTTTGTTAATGCTCGGTCAAAGGGTTTTTTCTCATTTAGTCATTCTTAAATGAGAGAAGATTTGACAATTGTTTTACATATTATCGATACAGGTGTACTGTTATCAAATTCACTCTCAATGGTCAAAGTCATATCTCTAAACGGAATGACACGATAACATTCACGACCTCCGTCCTTAGACTGTGGAAAGGTGAAGAAGAGTGTAAACGGTAAGCCTTAATCACAATAAATTTACAGGTAAACTTCAGACTGTTACATAATGGATATTATAAATTGCAACAAACATCCCTCATACCTCTTGCGCAGACTGAGGTGTACTCAATTGTCAACACTTAAAAGTGCAGAAATCAATTATCACGGAGAGCCAGAAAAAATATAACAAGACTTAAGTTATCAACGGAACAATATTTTACAGCTGCCACTAGGCTTTTAACACCTGCTGTAAAAAGTACAATAATCTGTAAAATGAAGTCTCCGGGAGCACAAAACTCGACAAAATTACACGTAAACTGCTCACTCGGTTTGATTGAAACATTAGATAAACGAATTTTTTAGAGTAGAGAAATGTATTTTCTGATCAAGCTGGATTTTGATACCATATGTTCGAGAGGATAAGATGATAAGATACCTCTTTAGAATCTTATTTACTGGTCCTGGTCCTGGCAAAATATTTATGGTACAGTGTCACTTATGCGGATGTCTTTCATATTGATTTATAGGCCAGCAAAAAGCTTAATCATTTTCTATTAAAATCATTGGACCGTAATTGGTTCTGTACGAGCAAAAGTCCACGTAATTCTGGGACACCCCTCGTAGTATTTTGCACTAAGGTTACGAAATTAAAAAACTCCTTAAGCAGCAATTGTATAATTTGAATGAAAATTCAAAACATGCGAATTATAATTAAGAATTAAGAAAGTAGACTGATCAGGTCCGCATTGTTTGCGTCTTATATGCCGTTCAAGCTTGCACTCGGACTCTTGCGCATGTGCTTGATACACATGTGATATTCAATTCTGCTTGAATATTCATTTGGTAACCGTCGTCCATAGTTGTGTTTTTTGGACAAGCAAACCTATTATAAATATCTGACAAGACAGGATGTACAGCTGAGTGTGCTGATATATTAAGTCTTCTATAAAACAATCCTATGAAATGGTCTGTAAAGCATATAAAGAATCGTTTTTAAGGACGGGATTTTCTCTTATGTGAAGAAAACCAGGCAGAAATTAAAAGTGTTGTGTTCCGAGATACGTAAAATTTTCTAAGATTCGTAGAATTTTCTGTTGAAAAATGCCTTGTGTGGTTTTCCGATGTTTCTAAGAAAGCATATGCATGTGTCAGCTATCTTCATCAAACATCAGGAAAAGAAGGACATTAAAAACCATACTTATAATCTTGCGTTCTTTGGAGATTCCGTTTTTCACTATTTTATTGCAATATCAGTGTTATATGTGCCGTGTCGAGGCCGTAAACAGTCGGCCCGTACATATAATGAAAGATGTTATATTTTTGGTTCTTGAATATCGTTCAAATTGAATACGAAATCATTGTTGTGTATGTATGTTATGTGGTATTTGTAGCTTCTTCTAATTGGCGTTTTTCAACGTGTGAAGTTCCAGTATTTCTACATGAATGATATATATTTTTCACCCTTAGGATATGCTGCCTGCTTTTAAATTTGTCTTTCGACGTCTTATCTTCATAACCTCAGATCCCCATTTCAAAATCCAATATTATTTAGTTACGCCCATTTGTTTTTCTCGTTTAGGTTACATGTATTTTTTAATTGGGCCGCTTTTCATGGAATGGTACCAACATGTAACATTAAAGGTTCCATGATGACCGTTGTATGACACAACTGCGGATGTTTCTAAATTCAAAATTTCTACATAATCATGGCTAAATATTGAAATCTGCTCAAGCCGATGCTAGGGGGCATGGACGGTAGCTTGTACTTTTCAGTACCGTTTATTAACAGGGTCAATTAAACCGAGCCTGAAGCAGTTGTATCGTTTTCGGCGTTCTTTAGGGATTCCGTTTTTCTCTTTATACAATATTCCATTTTCTTGCATCTCAGACAGGATTATCTACCGTTTACACCGGTGCTAGAAAACTCTGTCCTACAATCCCCATGTAAGACAAGTCGCGTGCTTTAAATGACGTCATTGACGTGCGCATTTAATGAATGAATCGCGTTCTTAAGATGACGTTATTTTTCCGTTATGAATGAAGTTGTATGTTCATACGCTACTATAAGAAAAAAGTGTGTAATGAGAATATCAGTTTTCATATTTTCCGTTCCGAAAATAATTTACATGTAATATGCAAGAAAAAGAATCAAACACCGGCTGTCAGTACAGACAGGAATATCTAGCTCTCGAGTAACTATTTAACGGAAACTTGGCAGAGCCTGGTTACCGCTGTAAACAGTTACCCTCGAGCTAGATATTACGATCTGTACCGGCAGCCGGTTTAAGATTCCTATAGGACCAAATAGTCCATGAGAATAAACAAACGCATGATAAATGACAAGACAGTATACAAAATATGTGCAAGTGAGAAGGTATACAAAGGAATGTGTCATTTATTGAAAAAATAGTGTGAAAATATATTAAACTTCAAATGCTGAATAAATTAGCACTGTCTGGCAAAACTAACGGAGAGGTACACTTTATACATTGTACAGTGTATTGAATGAATTAGATATTATTCAAATTGTTAAAATGTTGCTAACGGAGTTTCGTTTAAAATATTGAATCAAATGAAAATACTGTTCGGTCTAAAAATCAAATACATTCAATTGTTTTGGCCGCTATAAGTTTTAGTTTTTAATTGTGCAAAATATTAAAAACATTTAAGTTTAAAAAAATAAGATTAAAAGTAACGTGACAAGCTAAAATGAATGCACAATTGCATTATTTAAATCGAAAACCGAATCCATAACATGGTCTCTCTAACCATTACACTACTCGGATTTAGGTGTCCATATAACACTATTGTTCTACGTATATTGCAAGTTGCCAAATGTAATGATTTAATACCTTGAACAGTTCAAGCAGACCGAATTATGTAAATGTTATACTGTTCAAAATACGATAAATAAATGATACAGTTATTGGAGCAGTCAAATTACTTCCGAAAATACGCAGAATGAAATGCGCTAATAACTTTCTTATCGGCGCATTTTTTCAATTACCGAAAGAAAACATTGAAAGCACGTGTGTATGTATAACTGGACAGTTTATTAAAAAATTCCGAAATACATGCGAAAACACCATTCTTTTATCAGACTTTATGTCTCCATTTATTGATCATTTTTAAGAAATAAATGTTACTACAATGATAATTTCATAAACATTGATACATAAAATACGAAATATGAAAAAAAGAAAGAAATAGAAGCTAAGTTTAATCAATAAGTGCACGAATGCAAAACATCGTTGGTCATCATCGTAAAACTACTCAAAAATGTACTAGCAAATGTCCACAAGCATCAAATACAAATTTTACTAGCATTGTTAAACAAAATATTAAATATATAATATGCAAATCATTTAGACATGACATATAACAAGATTTATCCCTATATACATTGTATACCCTTTTTTCTAAAATTTTATTTAAGCTGCCAATCTACAGTTGACTTATTTGAAAACATCGTTTGAAGTATTCAATACAAGTGGATTGCAATGTAGAAATGCTGCTGTTATTTTACTTAACATATATATATTTCTCCATAAGGGTTCGTTAAAAGAAGAATAAAAATGTTTACAATAGTAACATTAAGCACAGAACGCCATTACAAAAGTTCATTCCTGTTATTTCTACATGTCTACCCGGTCAGTATCAACATCCGGATTATCTTCAAACGCATCTCTGTCTACATAGTTCAAAAGAAACGGCATAGCACCGTATGGATTTCTAAAACCAATTCCTTTAAAATTGAGTGGGGACCCAAGGCCATATGGCAACTGTCCATCTAAAGCAAAAAAGAGATGTTTGCTATTATTGTCCTTGTTCAAGTTATTTAAGATCATGATATATGTCATAAAAATAGATCATAATCATTTCATTTTGCGTTTTAATAATTCTATGCATATCTATAGCAATACAAACAATTAATAATACAACACTTACATACATATCTATCTCGTCTTTAAACACATTAGAATCGAACGCTAGAAAAAATGTCTTTAAGAAACGGTAAGATAGTTAATATTGTGATCTTTTGTGGAATATGTTTTTTTCTATTAATATTACACTTTTCAGTATGATGTTAATAACATGCACTATTTACCATTGAATTGGATAGGCACAGGAATGGACGCTGCGCAAACCACTAACAAACATATAATTCCAACCTGTACTTGCATACTTGATAAAATTAATGCAGCCTGAATATAGATATAAACAAAGTAAATATTGATGACGTTGTAAATACACCATAAGCAATGAGATAATACCGGCACAGATCTAAAATGTACCAGGGTAAATAGAGTATATTAATGACATTCACAGACAAATACAGATTGTGTACATGTTGACTCAGACTGACATAGGCCGATAAACTCAGGCATATTCTTACTATAAATGTGATGTGTATAAAACTGTTAATATCCCTAGTGCATTCCCGATCTATTGCCGTTCATGCATTTCTTATTTTGGTTTCGGGCTTACATATAGCAAAATTGTTGTCAAGTTTTTGATACATGTCATTCTATTTCTTTCTATGGTTCTATGCAATCCTATGATTCAAAGAGATAATTGGAATAAATATTTTTAGAACTACACGATTTAAAACCTTTACTAGAAAAACTATGTAGTTAACAATTTAGTAATAATTTTAAAAGTAACACGGTTTTATTTACTAGCTTTATTCATGCAAAAACAAAATTTAATAACATATCGAATATATTTACCAGTGATATTATTCCAATGTCTCAACAACTTAATTGTTTCCGATAAACTAACAATATTGATAATTTTAATTTACAAGTCATTCTGCCTAAGACGTTACCTTGGAAATAAAATAAAATGTATAGCTATCAATCGTTCTGTTACCTTGTCAACGAAACATCGCTGTCAACACTATCAATTAATAATATCGGTATAACTATAGAGATATAAAAGAATTAGAATTTTATATCTCTCGTAGGAAAAGAAAGAGAAATAGTGAGTGAATCGTTGAAAATAAAGAGATACAGCCATATCATCTACCTTATATGATCAGTTTATTAAAGTCAAAACTAAGCTTCGGAAATGAATAATATATTTCCTTTATCAAATGGCTCTGGAGTGTGCTTTTATCGTTACGGTAGCATTTTAGGTTATTTTCAGGTAGAAAACAGCCTTAAACGTTTAAGGCCGTCGGAATAAAGATCACATCCTTATAATACATTGTTATTAAGAGGTATGTTTCTGTTATATAATTGAAGAAATTGTTTCTTATAATATTAACACCAGGTACAAATTGGCTTAACAACGTAATAAACATTTACATTTGCCATATGCACAGTCTGACGCTCACTTATTCCAAATGTAATATAATTCTGGAATTACACAGACAAAATGTTTACAATCAAAACAAACAGTAGCACGCATTGCATCAAAATTGGCGTTTTAAAACTTTATTATTTGTTTAGATTTTCAACTTTCTAACTATTGTATACTCTGAGGATGATGATAAACACAAGCACAAAAGTAGTGTTCCGAACACAGCACCAAAAGAACAGAAACAATAATCCTGGCAGTTGGACTCGTTCATTTCAATTTCCGGAAGGTCCGAGGTAAAAGAAAAAATAGGTGAAGAAAAATGGATATGAACTTGAATGAATGTTAGATCTACTTTTTTGAGATCAGAATAGAAATAACTGCACACTTTGTCTGTTGTTGATTTAAATTTACCACCTTCCCTCTGAAAGACAATTCAAAGAACAGTTCAAAAATAAGAAATACTATAAAGGTTACATTAAACAAGAGATATTTGTTTTGTATCAATGCGAGACCAATAGTTGGTTAATAGTGAGTGAATATCAGATGTACGTTTTACAAGTGCGGCGTAGCCCACAATAAAATAAGTAAGGAGGTGGTGATATACGACCCCCATCCAAATAAAAACCTTCAAAATATTTAACTAAATAAGGAAACACATAAAAATGACCTGGCCGTATAAAAATAAACATTTATAGAAGCAAATAAAATAAATAAACCCATAAAATATCAAGGAAATATCTGTGATTAATGAACATGATAGCTTTTGTTGAATGAATTTCAATTTGCAGCTTTATATTTCATTCGAAAATAGAGGAATAGGAATGTTTTTAACCAAAAATGCCTGAAGTACAAGTTTGCAACTAAAATGAGTTTGAAGAAGATGAATTGGTGTATTGGCACTTCTTTTATTATAAACTTATAATCTTAAAGATATAAATGAATGAAAAAATCGACCAGAAAAGTTACTTGTCAAAATTCAAAATACTCACATGACCAGTTTATATTTTCAATATTTTCGTCAAATTAGAAGCTAGGAAGCTGAAGTGTGTCATAAACATTGCCTAAAGGAATGGGCATATTTAAAACTTAGAAATATTAACCAACTTACCTAGACAAAATACGTGTGGGGCAATATAAATTTTCATGGCTTGGTGGGCATTTTTGGGAAGCTTGCTACTATTTTGCTCGCTTGAACCAAGTCCACGAAAGGCGAAGCTTATGTTTGAATGTGTCTGGCCATATCTTCATTCTGTCATTTGTTCATGGATTTGTTTCGAAATAACAGGGTACACTGTGCATGATATACATAATCATACTTTACATGTTGACCATAACGTTACATTCGACTGGAAAGAAAAATTATATTAAGAAAAATACACGGACGGTAAAACGATATAGTGGTCATCTGTCTATGATAGCCATTTTTTCTGCTGACTACAGACAGGTTAGACTGTTATGAATTGCAGGGATGGAATGGTCATGTTTATTATGTAGTAGTTGATGATTTATGGACAGACTTATTATGCACATTTATGGACTAAGCCAGTTACAAAAATTGGTATGGAAGTGGTGGTCAAATTGCAAGTTACATTTTAGAGATTTAAAACCTCAACTTTCGGAAGAGTACTTACAGGCATCCTAAATGCTTGGCTGCATTTGTATGATTAGTAACAGATGCACATCTACAAATGGTAGATGATATCATAAGTATGATTTTGTAATAATGTAACTTTTATATGCATATTTATAATTATATATATACTGTGTATTTCTGTAAAGGCACATTATGTCTGGGAAATAAATATTTTTATTCTTCTGTAGGAAAAGCAAACATGTGCTGTATAATTGTCACGGTTCAAAACTGTTCACTCATATTAATATAAGAGAAGAAGATGTGTAAACGGCCAGATACTTCTGTCGATAGTGCTGCGAAACAGTATTGCGGGTTCGGGGTTCGAGTCCCTGTGCGGCTACACATTTTTGTCACATTTGACACCAAACAGATGACCGTGACTGAATATACACCAGACGTCATTTCGAAGTGCTGTGTAAATCTGTTAAATTCAAGGACGAATTTCAATATATCGGGGATAGCTCAGTCGAGAACTGTATTGCGAGAGTCCCGGGTTAAAACCCAGATCAGGGTGCACATTTTTTCTCACGCTGTGGCATAATTAATGTTGCAATGACAGATGCAGAACATGGAAGATTTTCATCACCCTTATTAAACAGAGCTAAATATGAAACAAAGTGGAAGTTGACTTTTATGAAAAAATACGAATTTAAAATCACTATAACTATATTAAACCCCAAAACAACATGGAAAAGAAGTTTGGTTTGCTCTATGGACAATTAGTTTCTTTTGGAAACTATCACAAATAAAAGGCTTTTCAAAATTGAGAGTCATTGAGCCTTTAAATCATTGGATAAATGTCAACAGATATTAATGTTGTACTATGGGTTTCCTATAATAAGTATATAAATTATGTTTTATGTCTATAAATTACCTTAATTCAGGAGGACTTAATATGTAGTGTTATAAGTATTTAGAGATAATCCGCCTACTCGATTAAATATGCACACTCTGAGAACTCTCTCAGATCCCTCTTTGATAGAAAGACACTTATTCAGTACATATTGGAATAACTAGCATTCAATTTCTATTTGTTTACATGTTAATATTCTTATTGCATATTACCGTATTCGTTCTGTGTATTCTTGGTATTGAGATTATTGTACTTTTCCGAAGAATAATTTATAATTAAATTACCAAAGTGCATCCATACTTTAAATAGACTCTTCGCATGCTGCAGCAATGCCGAGTTGCATAACAATGCAAGAGCTGCGTTAAAACTCCAAAATACTATTAATTCCAGTAAGGCAACTGTTCCTTACTTACAATATTGCAGTAAATTTCTTTTTATCTGGTACCATCTCAGACGATTTGAAAGAGTCATAGATGAAGTTCATCAGTTGCTGTATAAGCTGTTATATTTTGGCATAAAAAGTCAAGAGGGTAAGTGCATTTCTGTGTTATGACAGTTCCTCAGATGTTCCACAGGGATATGTGCTTAAACCTATTCTCTTTTCTGTTATAAATGACCTCCCTGGCAAGGTCAGACCTATTTGCCGTCGGTTTGTGGATGACTGTCATCTAGAGAGGAATAGGATCTATCAATGATATTGCAATGTTATAGGAGGACTGACAAATGATGGCACAATGGAAGATGTCTTTTAATATCCATGAATACTGTGCTGGTCGTTCGAAGAAATATTTTAATAAAACCATTATATCAACCTCTTCAGATTGCCAATTAAACTCCTAGTGTTTATCTAGGAGTTGGAATCACTTCAGAACTTACTTGGCCGCCACATACAAATAAAGTAATAACGAAAGTTTGTGTTTCTCAAACGATATCTTCATTCAGCTTCACCACAAAATAAGTCATCTGCTTATATAAATCTTTAGTTAAACATACATTAGATTTTTCCGCTTTGAGCCCTATCACATGAAAAGTATTGCATGATAAAAGTGGATCAGTCCAAAAAGCAGTTAGGTGCACAACCAACACTAATTCTACTTTTCCAGGACCATTGTCAACATCAATTCATCACCAGAAAGAAGGCGGACAACTAACAGGTTAGTTCTGTTGAACAAGGTTGTCAATAATACTTTACTAGCATTAGTTACATCAAACAATTAAGGTATTACCTCAATTAACCTGTCAGATTGTATCATCATCAAAATACATTTATAAATATGCCTTTTTTCCTTGTACGCTCTACCTGTGGAATACTCTTCCAAACGATTGCAGTCATACCGCTCGCAGGCTATGGAGTCTTTTTTCTCAAAATTTAGTGTTCTTATAATACCGTTTCAATTTTAACTTACAGTTATTTATCGGTATTACTTAATACCGGGTACGACTCATATCCACGGATATGACTTTACATACCGGATAAGCCTTACATTTTATTATATTTTGGGGTATCTTTTTTGATGAGATGTTTTATAATAATTAAATGCTTCTGAAGGTTTTTGATGCAATTCAACAAAATAGTAGATTGGACTACCCGATGAACCAATTTACAATAGCTCTTTATTTATTACATTGAATCAGTGTCAAGTAGCTTTTATATATGATGTTAGTGAATTTCCTTATACACGTCTAATATTTAGTATTTATCTGGGACTTAAAATATAACTACTTGTTTTAAGTCCCACGTATCAATAGAAACCATTCTCTTAATTTGACATGAATAAATATGCATGTGATATAACTATATTAGTGCCTTTGTTACTATTTTTATATACTGTTTGTATTTTGTTACATTTATAATGAAAATAAAAAAACAGACTTTGTTCATTTTGACTACTGTTCTGTATGTTCAAAAGAATATACAGTTGTAATAGATGACCAAATTTACTTTATATAAGTACTATATTTCTATTTAATTCTGATATCTTAATTTCCATTATGCTAGTACTGATACTTTACAATCACTTTTGAAACACTATACGATCACTTTTGAAACACTATACGATCACTTTTCTTGTT